CTGATCTAAACATGATGAATGACTATTATTTCTAAACCAGTAAATCTTGGCATGACCTGATTTGTTCATGATGTCTGAATTCAGCCAAAGTGTATGGGTGCTGGAGGTTGAGTTGCCAACCTCCAGGCAGGGCCTGGAATTACAGTGGGTCTCCAGGCTACAGAGATCAGTTCCCCTGGGGAAAATGGCTAATTTGGAGGGAAAACACTATGGAATTCTATCCCTCTGAGGTCCCTCCAATCCCCAACCTCCCCCAATCTCTACAAGTTTCCCAATCCAGAGTTGGCAGCCCTCTCTGGAGGCCTACGTCATATATATTGGGAGAGGAAGTTGTGTTTGTCATAGTTGAAATCCACCCAAACCATACAAGAAGCAGATTCAGGTGGGTAGCCATGTTGGTCTGAAGCAACAGAACAAAGTTTGAGTACAGTGGCACTTTTAAGACCAATAAAGTTTAATTCTGGGTATAAGATTTTCTGTGCAAAATGGTACCAGAAGGATTGCCTCAATGATAAAACTCAAATCAAGGATTATTTTTAATAGTAGACATGAGAGTTCTCTAAGGACTTCGGTTATATGATCAGGGATGCTAAAAACTGTTGATTCAGGATTGTAAACCCATTTCAACCACTTCATCTCTTGTTTACTTACAGGTATAGAGAATATAAGCCTGTCCCAGTCCCTAAAATCTCGGTAAATACAGTCCCTTGTAGGCTTGAAATGAACTACAAATGCCAACTAAGTCATCGTGGTATTACTAAGCCGTGTATTCTTTTTAAAAAACCGAGGTGAGGAGGCAGCAGGTCCTGAATATTCAGGTTCTGTTAAACTTGCCAGGCTCCTGGTCAGGGCAGTGGACCCCCCGCTTTTGTGGGTTCTGGCTTGTCGCTGGCCAGCTGGCCAGTGGTGGAAACTTTGCCCCCAAACAGACAATATGCTGACATCAATTCTGAAACTGACATCATTGTGTCGGTGCCATCGGGGGCAACACTCTACTTTTGAGGGCAAATCTCCATGGTTTGTAGCCATTTTTACCACAGAGTTTTTTTCTAAAAAGTGGAGCGTTCCCTCCACATTCCGGAAGTGATGTCAGTGCGTTGCCGATGTCCCTGCCCACCCCCAGAACACCCCTCAATTCCCCCACTGGCAGGAGGAAAGCACCTGGCAACCCTATGTTTTCCTAACCATTGACTCATTTCTAGCTCACACTATCCCCTTCTTTGCATATACTAATCCAAACATTTAAAGTAAATTCATATGTAATTGGGCTGTCTATCATAACTGATAGACCTATTGCAGTTTTTCTTTTGCTTTTCTGTAATTCTTAGTATGAATACCCCAAACCTTAGAAATCTGAGGGGGGTACATGATATGTAGAAAATTACCAGGTGTAACATTACCCATCAGCCATCTCATACTGCAGAAAGCCTCACTTGATAATTGTTTGCCTCTCACACAGCTATTAAAAGCATAGGAGACCTCCAGGAACAATGGTAGCAAGAATCCTACATTGTAAATTAGAGACAACCAGGCAAAGGGAGCAATCCTCAACAGGTCTACTCAGAAATCAGTCCCAGGATTAGTGTGGCTTACCCCCAGGGAAATGGCAAATTAAATATTTAAAACAATTCAAATTCCCTTCCCCTCACTGTTTGGGGAGATGTAGTTTTTAAATATAATTAAAATATAATAAAACCCAATGCTCAGACCCAACAGCAGCAGTAAATCCAGTTTGAACTACAACCCCACAGGTATAAATAATTAAATTTTAAAAAGAAAAATCCTCAAATTAAATCACCATTGCTTATTTAAAATCTGTGCCTTGTAATGTTTTGCTTAAAATGTTAGGAAAGTGCTGCATTAAAGAAAACAGGCAATTGTTTTATTACGCATTTGTGCTATAGCTCTTTGCAGGTCAAATAGTTCTTAGTGAATTCGCTGGGACTTCCAAATCAACATGCTTGTGGACAGCGTGTGAAAGTGCACAACATGTTGCTAATAATAATGTCCAGATTCATATCCATGATAAGCTGCGAGGTGAAGTGTTAGCATTCTCTTTGTATGCACTGGAAATAAGAGAACTGTGATTGCTCGCACTGAGATAATAACAGTGGCAATGCTACGTTATGCTGGCTTTTTTAAAAAAGTCTCTTGAAATATACCTTACATGCGGAACAATGACAAGATACAGAACTAAAAATACAGGGTGGGCCATTTACTCTTGAAATAGCACATGGATACTGAGGAACAAGAACAAGTAGGGTTGTTATTCTCCAGTCCTTCTCCTGGCAGTGAGACTGTTCCACCCTGTATGCTCAGAGCTCACTGTGCTTGAATATTTCCTGGGCCACCGCATTTCAGTACAGTAAAGATTACAAGATTGGTCATCTTTATAAGATGACATTCTCCTAACACTGCAGTTCTTTGCACTCTTACTTGAGAGTTTACCTTATGGAACAATGGAGCTTACTTCTGAGTATATATGCAAAAGAAAAGGTTGTTGGTTCGTATCTTTAAAGAAGAAATCTTGTCTTTTGCTTTTAGGGGTTTTTTTATTATTTGTTTTTAATATCATCCTTCCCGTGGCTAAGCATGCTGCCTTGCATTATGTTTCAAAAGAAAAGGTTGTTGGTTCATATCTTTACAGAAGAAATCTTGTCTTTTGCTTTTAGGGTTTTTTTTTGTTTGTTTTTAATCTCATCCTTCCCATGGCTAAGCATGCTGCCTTGCATTATGTTTTTTAAAAATGTAGCTGAAGGAAGGCTATAAGGGTATGGCTTATGGCCAGTGCACCTTGCTAATAGATGGCTTTATTTATTTATTTCATTTGTAGTCTAATTTTCTTGCTGAGACTCAAGGTGGATTATCAGATATAAAAAACAGTGCAACCTCAGTTGTTTTCTGAGAATATGCATGATTAAAGCCACAAAAAGCTACTTTGCAGTTTTGTGGTTTCTTTTTCCGGCATTAGTCCAATTTGGGTTGGTATACTGTGTTCCCATATAAACTTCTTCCTGGCAGTTAATATGATCAGGCGAAATTCCTAGTTTAGGACCCCGGTCACACGGCAAAGTTACCGCAGGAGAGGCACGGAAGGTGGGTGGATTATCCGGGCGCGATCACACCCCAACATCTGGGAAGTGGAGCGCACCCGTGGCTTACCGCCGACAATGCGCATTTAAAAACTAGTACCTCCAAGGTACTAGTAAACGTTTGCCACGGGCTGCCTCCAGACACCCGTGGTGTGATCGCACCGGCACGCGGCATTCCCCTCCGGTCCCTCGTTTACCCGCTGGCGCCGAGGGAAGGACCCGTGGTGTCCCGCCGGCGTGTCTGATCACGTAATCGCAGATCAAACTGTGCCGGGACAGTTAGCCACACCTCCCCTCCGTGATATCCGGCCCGTGTGACCAGGGCCAAAGTATACTTTTCACTGTTACTCTGTCCTAGAAAGTGCTGTTCTGTGTCCAGTCAATGAAAATGGTCCAAACTCTCTCTTTTTGAAAAAACACAAAAAGATTGTTGAATAGATTTTTCTCCAAGGTTTACCTTTTTAAATATTATTTTGTTTGATTTCCAGCCCGTTTGCTGCCTACCAGCAATGGTTAAAACGCACTGAGGGAGGTTGTTTCATTAAAATAAGACTGGTTGCTTTTAAAAATGTACTTTATATAAATCAAAATATTTTACCTTCCAGAATCGAACATTGAGTCGTTATTAGCGTGCGGGGAGGGGGGGATACTGAAGTCTCTAGTCATGGAACAAAATGAGCACAGACTTCAAAATAGGATAACTTGTATTTTTTTGTATTTTTTCCCTCCCACCCCATATTTTCCCAGAACTTTGATACTGTCATTAAAACATTTCAGTGAACTAGAGGATACATTTGTTGTCAGAATGTGGTGGAGGTTTTCTGGTGGATTTTGACCTCATGTTTCTGCTCTTAGAACATGCCTTAAATGTGAAACAAAACACTTCCTTGAAATATGTTTTTAAAGGACTTGTGGTTTCTTGTTTCCCTAGAAGTTATGAGCTGAAAGTCAAACCAGTTTTTCCAAGATATTTCTTTTACTGACAGTGCTTGGGGCTTTGAATTACTGCCTCTCTGCAGTTACTGAACCCAGTGGAGGATTTCCTATCACTACAAACTGTACACCTCCTCTTGAGCGTGTGACTGTTGAAGGTATAGGAAAAAAGGTACCAGAAAAAGCATATCAGTGTTCATGCAGATGCATACCACCCATCTTGCCTTGACCCCCACAGACAAACAAAATTGGAACCAATGCTCCCTAAGCTGTGGAGTCTTGTGAACAAAAAATCTACTTTGTGAGCTATGGGCATTAAAGTTGTGAGCAAGCGATTTGGCTACTGCATAAATCAGTTTGCTCTGGAGCCACCCTTCCTGAGCTAAGACAAAAATGTGTGAGCTGGAGGCTAAAGAACAGTGAGCTAGCTCACACTAACTCAGCTTAGGGGGAACACTGATTGGAACTTGAGTGGTTGTGATTTATCTTGTTTAAACAGTGCCCCCTTGTTCTAAAATTCTGCACTCTATGCCCAACATGCTTGTCTAAAGCACCCAAAAAAATATCAGAATTGAGCCATTAGCACAATTACCAGAGCTTTCAAAAATGTACACAAATATGTAACTTTATTACAGTTGGGGGGAAATGTCCTGTCTCTTTGATAGATGTCGTTTACCCGGTGATATTATTTACCTCCCTGACATGAAAAGCTTTCTGTGCTCTTTTCTGCACATGAGGTCTATTCCAGGGAAGAGACATTTTTCTCCAGGCCTACTGGCCATCCTAATTCTGGTGCATACCTTGCTGATTGTTGTGTGACTCTCTGCAGAACTAGGGTTCTTGTGTACAAGTCTGAAGGATGCATAAATCTTGCGCCTAAGGAATTCATAAAATCACTGCTCTTGTAAAAGGCTCTCTGGGTTTATGGGATTCATTTGCTTGACTTCCAAACTAATATTTAGTTTTCAATTCTAGACGTCCATACAGAAGCCGTCCAGGCAGCTCTTGCAAAACATAAAGAAAGGAAGATGGCGGTGCCGATGCCATCCAAGCGACGTTCATTGGTAGTGCAAACCTCAATGGATGCCTACACACCCCCAGGTATGAGGCTGGTGCTATGTGTCTTCTAGCAAATATTTTAAAACTTTTTAAAAATTATTAGTTCATGTTCAGTGTTACTTGAATTAGAATTAAAGAAACTTTAAAAGATGAGGGAGGAATGTTGGAAAGCAATCCAGTTTCGTGGTTGTTCATATAGAAGTCTTTGAGACCGACTCCAGGGTTAGTTTGCATTCACCTGCAATCTAAATCAAATCCAACAACCATAAGAACATAAGAGAACATAAGAGAAGCCATGTTTGATCAGGCCAATGGCCCATCTAGTCCAACACTCTGTTCTCATACAGTGGCCAAAACCCAGGTGCCATGAGGAGGTCCACCAGCAGGGCCAGTTTTCTGGCTAGTTATCCAATTGTTCTTAAGTGTCCCTTTTGGACTTTTCCAGTAGAAGTCACTGTCCCACTTTGTATTTTCCCATTTACTATGGCTAATACCTCTGATCTTAATTACTTAATTACAAAGAGCCAGTTTGGTGTAGTGGTTAAGTGCGCGGACTCTAATCTGGGAGAGCCGGGTTTGATTCCCCACTCATCCACTTGCACCTGGCTGATGACCTTGGGCAAGCCGTAGTTCTGATAAGAGCTGTTCTTGAAAAAAGAGCAGTTTCTGTCAGAGCTCTCTCAGCCCCACCTACCTCACAGGGTGTCTGTTGTGGGGAGGGGAAGGGAAAGGAGTTTGTAAGCTGCTCTGAGACACCTTTGGGTAGTGAAGGGCGGGGTATAAATCCAATCTCTTCTTCTCTTCCTCTTCTTTTACTTGACAACAAGTCCTATCTAAATACAGAGGGCCTAACTTCTGAATAAAGGTCTTAAGGTCAAGATGGTATTTTTAGTTGGTGTGGATATGGCAGTGCAAATAGATTGTCTCCTCTATTACTAAGACCTGCAGATAGGGCAGGGCTGTGAGTCCTCCTTGGGCCATTACTTATGAGTGTACAAAGCAGAGCTTCGTCTGTTGCAGCGCTGCAGCTTTAAAATTCCCTTTCCACGGAGGCCCACTGGGCAAAACACTGTATATTTTGGATTAGCCTGGCAAGCAAGAGAAGAAGAGTTGGTTTTTATACCCCGCTTTTCTCTACCTTAAGGAGTCTCAAAGCATCTTACAATCGCCTTCCCTTCCTCTCCCCACAACAGGCACCTCATGAGGTAGGTGGGGCTGAGAGAGTTGTGAGAGAATCATGACTGGCCCAAGGTCACCCAGCAGGCTTCACGTGGAAGAATGGAGAATCAAACCCGGTTCTCCCAGATTAGAGTCCACCACGCAGGAGATGGAGGGCATTGGGGGTGGGGGGGATGACATTCTGATGTCACTTCCGGGGAAAACTTGAACATGATATCAGTTCTTTTCTCTCTAGCAATCAGCAAATTCAGAAGATTCCTAGAAAGGACTGACAGTGCACCCAGTTTTCTCTGAGGGAGACCTCACATCATTGGTTTGACAGCCTTTTTTGTTAGTTTGTTTTCCTTCCACTGCAGCTTAAAACAGTGATGGGTCGTGGGAGCTGGGGGGCAGGGGATAGCCACCCCCCACTATGGGTTTGGCAACCTTGTTGTGGCACAAGGCGAATACGTTCTTGCAGCCCGATCTTCACATATGTAAGCATAATATTCTGGTTTTCCTCTGCCCCAAGCCTTTCAGCTTCTTGACACTGTGACTAATTTGCAAGTGAAGAAGATGTTTTTATTAACAGCTGAATTTTTGCTCTTTAAATTAAAGGTCAAAGCAGGTTTGGAGGGAGGGCATAATCATCTCCCTGAAATCATCTCCTGTTTTTGTTGCTGTATTTGCAGCAGTTAAGTTTGATCTCTTTCTTACCCTCCTCCCAACTGCCCCAGGAGCTTGTAGGGGCATAGCTGGGAGTCCTATAGTGTTGTAATATCACTTCCAGTCACAAAACCAGAAGGCACATCATGAGAGATACTGTAGGAGCCCCCCCCCCACTCTATGGTTTTACTGTAGTTGATAAAGTGTTGCAGCAACACATCATTTCCAGTTACGCAGTTGGAAGTCACACTGTGACATCATTTTTTGTTGTCCAATTTCTCATGTTGCTGCACCGGGGAGCAGTGAGGGACTGAGGGCCTCGGGAAGAACATTTCCTGATTACAGTGGGACACTTTGTCCTCATACTCTGGGGCCATGATTTTTCTTCCTGTTGGGCTTTGTCCTTTCCCAGGAACCCGTCCGTTGGAGAACCACTTTCAGAATGCAGTATCGTTTTGCCATAGTTCCCCTGCAGCCCATCAAGACTGGAAGTGTCCCAGATGTGCATCCATATGTGCATTTTCATTCTACACAAGCATCAAAAGGAGGAATGATTACTTGCTCACAGATGGATCACTGCTGAAATATCAAACAAATTTGAAATACAGGGGAATCCTCTGTCCAAAAATATTGTGCCTCTGATCACGGCTGTGTGCAAAAACAGCTTTCTTTGCTGATTCTTAACATAAGAACATAAGAGAAGCCAATGTTGGATCAGGCCAGTTGGCCCATCCAGTCCAACATTCTGTCACACAGTGGCCAAAAATACCAGGTGCCATCAGGAGGTCCATCAGTGGAGCCAAGACACTAGAAGCCCTCCCACTGTTGCCCTCCCCCAAGCACCAAGAATACCTTGTGGCTAATAGCCACTGATGGACCTCTGCTCCATATGTTTATCCAGTTCCCTCTTGAAGCCGTCCATGCTTGTAGCTGCCACCACCTCCTGTGGCAGTGAATTCCATGTGTTAATCACTCTTTGGGTGAAGAAGTACTTCCTTTTATCTGTTCTAACCCGACCGCTCAGCAATTTCATGGAGTGCCCACGAGTTCTTGTATTGTGAGAAAGGGAGAAAAGTACCTCTTTCTCTACCTGCTCTTTCCCATGCATAATCTTATAAACATCAATCATGTCACCCCTCGGTCATCGTTTCTCAGTAGGAAAGATAAGCACGCACGGAAATGTTCCACTGAAATTAACACCTGCCTGTACACGGTGCCTTCTCTTCTGTGGCCCCCGCCTTGTGGAATGGCCTGCCTGAGGAGGCCAGGAAGGCTCGCACTCTCCTGGCTTTCCACAGACTATGCACAATGGAATTATTCAGGAGGGCTTTTCTGCACAGGCAATACCTTCCTTCCTTCCTTCCTTCCTTCCTTCCTTCCTTCCTTCCTTCCTTCCTTCCTCCTCCTCCTCCTCCTCCTCTTCTTCTTCTTCTCCTTCTTCTCCTTCTTCTTCTTCTTCTTCTTCTTTTTCTTCTGTGCTTTTGCAAATTGTTCCATTTCTATAGATGTTCCACTCTTTCTCTTGGAATGAAGTAGTAGCACCATCCAACCGGTGGTTGATTTGACTGTGTAGATTGACTGCCAAATTTGCAGCTGTCTCTGGAATCAGTGTCTTTTGTCCATGTGCTTGTTTATTCTCATTCAAACATGAAACTTTTAACTTATTTTCATGTTTAGATACCTCATCTGGTTCAGAAGATGAAGGCTCTGTACAAGGTGATTCCCAGGGAACTCCAACCTCAAGCCAAGGGAGTATAAATATGGAACACTGGATCAGCCAAGCAATCCATGGCTCTACTACATCTACAACTTCTTCATCTTCAACGCAAAGTGGAGGCAGTGGTGCTGCACATAGGCTAGCAGACGTAATGGCGCAAACACACATAGGTTTGTCTATTGTATTTATCATTCCTTTCTCTTCTGGTTATATTGGGTTGGATCCAGTCAGCTATTCCACTGATGAGAAAAGGACCATAGGGTTTGCTTTGACCACAGAAAACCTGTGCCTGGTAGTCATGGGACCTGCATGGGTGAAAGCCATGTGGGTTGGGAACTGTAATAAGGAGGGGAACTGGTGAGATCGAATGAAAAAAATGGCTGGATCCAACCCATACTATGCATGTCCATTTGACTTAATAACCCTCTGGGCTTTCCCAAAAGATGGTCTCCTGTGTACTGGGCCATTTGGATGTGATTGAGTTCTGAAGTTCATGTGTGTTTTTCTCTAAGCCATTGTGCTTTTTTCTTAATTTTTCTTTGGTAGTGTTATTAGGATACTAAGGTAACAAAAGCAATAGAATCAAGATGGTAACTGTCGCAGAAGCCAACAAGGCTCACTGTTCAGGATTTAAGGTTCTAAATTGTTATCTGTGCAATCATGTTCGAGAGAAAAAAAGGCAGAAAATATTTAAGTGTTTGTGTGCAGATTGATGCTTTAGCCAAAATACTAATGAAGAATGTTTGAAAGAGGGTGATGGAATAAATGGCTCCTAGGGTGTGGTTCAGTAGGGTTTTCTTAAAATTTCTTACAAGCTTGTACCTGTTCTGCACCATGTTTATATGGATATGTTCACAGGATTTACTTCCAAATAAGTAGGTTTAAGGTTGTAGCCCAAGTATATCGACACTTAACTTGTAAATTAAGTATCACATTGTTCAACAGGGCTTGCTCCTTATATTTTAGGGGTGTGGAGTTTTTAGGGTTGTTTCTGAAGCATGCGTGAGATGCTCTGTTTTTGAGGCTGACTAAAATAAGATTAATCCTAAGTAAATAGTCATAGGAATTGTTTTAGCTAGGCCAGAACTTTGCCCTAAGTTAAGGCCTGTATGTCATACCTCCTTAGGCTCATCTCATTAGGTAGTGGAAGGTCTGAAACACATTTTCTCTACTGTTGTCATCATCCAGTTGTGTAACTCATCTCTGATTCCTAAATTTGGTCCTTTTGCAGTATTAAGGTTGAATTCATGTTTCAGAGCAAGGATAATGGAACATGCTGGGGATTATTTCTGAGTAAATGTACAAAGGATTAGGCCATTAGTGTGGTCTAGATTGGAATCTGCTTCCAAACTGGCATGCCAGTGGTTTTAATTAGACTTGCTTCCAAGTAAGTTTGTAAAGGATCACAACTTTGGTTCTTTTTCAAAGGCTTTATTCCTGGGATTACATGCTAGAGTACATGTTGAATGCTATCTATGTGCTATGTGGTCCTAAGAATGTTATCTACTATGGAGGAGAAAAGATAGTAGTGATCTGTTGAACAATCTAGCTGGATAGCAATCATCATCTTTTGTTGTTTAGTGTCTTACTCCAAATTAATTTGAGGATGTTTACCTCTAAGGAACCAGTGCATGCTTCATTTTTAAAAATTCATTGTTATGACATCATGATTACAGGGAAACCTAGAACATCTACTGTAGAGCTTGATGTCTGATGTGGGGAACTGAAATAATGTGCTGGGAAATTAAAAAAAACACACTTTACCAGCTTGAAACAGAAGCGTATTCATTTGCAGCCCAAGTCCTTAGCTTTATTGTGACAGTGTTCCTTATGGCATCTGCCTATGTTAATTAAAACTGTTTGGTAGTCCTCTCCTACCCTGGTGAGGGGTGGTGATTCTCCTGATCATTGTGAGAGCCAGTTTGGTGTAGTGGTTAAGTGCGTGGACTCTAATCTGGGAGAACCGGGTTTGATTCCCCACTCCTCCACTTGCACCTGCTGGATGACCTTGGGCAAGCCATAGTTCTGGCACAGCTGTTCTTGAAAAAGAGCAGTTTCTGTCAAGAGCTCTCTCAGCCCCACCTACCTCACAGGGTGTCTGTTGTGGGGAGGGGAAGGGAAAGGAGTTTGTGAGCTGCTCTGAGACACCTTTGGGTAGTGAAGGGTGGGGTATAAATCCAATCTCCTCCTCCTCCTACCCAGGTTGAGATAAATTGAGCTTTTCCTTTGGAGGCACCTTGAACCTGCTTTGTTGTGCTTTTCTCCACATACATGTTAAAGGAAAGCTGTTGCATTCTCAGCAGGTTAACTCCCTGTATTTGGAATGTCTCTATGACTTCCTGTTGAAATCACCTTCTCATTATGACTTGGAAAATTACATTTATCCAATTTTTTAAAGGTTGCATTAGTCACCAAGTCTGAATGTTGTCTTCAATTATATCTTTATAAAAATAATTTGGCATTTTGTTAATTTTAGACTTGGCACACCATCTTTTTTACAAATGCTGGGGATTTAAGGGTTTTTTTTAAAAAAATGTTGCATTATTGAGAAATAGCAGTCCATTACCGAAGTGTCTCCCCATTAATAGGCTGCATGTAATGCCTGTGGGTAGTTGGACCATTATTTCTTTAAAATCCAGATGGCTGTGGCACTTCCTTCCGGCAGGGGCAGAGGACTCTATAAGATGGCCTGTTCCCAAAGATTTACGGATCCAGTTGGTTTCCAGACATCTGTTGGGGATTTTGAAATGGTGAGGGGCAATGTTCCCTCTTAAGCTGTAGAGTCTTGTGAGCAAAAATTCTACTTTGTGAGCTACCGGCATTAAAGTTGTGAGCAAGCGATTTGACTACTGCATACATTAGTTTGCTCTGGAGCCGCCCTTCCTGAGCGAAGACGAAAATCTGTGAGCTGGAGGCTAAAAAAACTGTGAGTTAGCTCACACTAACTCAGCTTAGAGGGAACACTGGTGAGGGGTGGTGATTCTCCTGATGCTCTTGTGGGGGCCTGGAACATCAGTCTCTCTTCTCTCTGGTGTGTTCTCTCACTCACAGAGACAGCTCCGGATTTCTAGGGAACTATCAGTTATCGTTAAAGCACCTGTGGTGGGGGACTTGAGCCATATTTAACAGAACGTGCCACAGAGCTCATTTGAAGGCCTATGAGGGGGTAGTGATAGTAGCAAAGATTCCCGCGCCCCCCAGGTCTGGCTACCATTGCTTTAGTTGAACTCCAGCTAATTCAGTTATTTAAGATTAGGGGTGCCAACCTCCAGGTGGCATCTGGAGATCTCCCACTATCACAATTCATCTCCGGTCTACAGAGATCAGTTCCCCTGGAGAAAATGGCTGCTTTGGAGGGTAGACTCTGTGGTATCACATCCCTGCTAAGCTCCCTCCTCTCCCCAAACCCCACCCTCCCCAGGCTCTACCCCCAAATCTCCAGGTATCTCCCAACCCAAAACTGGCAACCCTATTTAAGATTATTCAGAATTCCTTAACCTAAGACTGTGTTCCAGAATGAGGTTAATTCAGCTATTAGCTGTGATGATTTTGCAGATTTCTTTGCTGGTAAAAGTTTTGGAGTGTGATCCAACTTGGACTCCAGTTTAAGAATTAGTCTAGAATTAGAAGTTTTGGTTGTGTCAGGTTTATTTGGGTAGTTTTTCTCATTTCTGTTTCTCTCATTTCTCTTCTTAGTGTGTCTAGGACCTTGGGGACAGTGAAGTCAGCCTTTTGTATCCTGCATCCTTGTCCCACTTAGTTAGTCGGATCTTGTGAGAACAAGCTAAGGAGTATTTTGGCTAAGATCACTTTGGAAAGTGATTTTCCCAAAGCCTCTAAAAGGGGCTGTTGTTCAACCTTTAATTGGAAACACCCCTCTCTTAGTGGAGATACCATAGCCAGTTATAGGCCCATGTCAGTTTTACCATTTTTTTAAAAAAAAGTTAAGTGATTGACAGTGGTGGCAGAAGAACCCCAGGATCTCCGAGGTAATTCATCTATTCCTGACCCATTTCAGTTTGGCTTTGGGATAGACTGTATTGGTGGTTCTGGTGAGCGATCTTTGTTTATAGTGAGAAGAAGGAAATACACCTTTGCTGATCTTGTTGGATTAGTCTACTGCCTTTGATATAGCTTTATTTTATTAAGACTCCTTGAAACTACAGTGGGTCTGAAAGGTACTGTATTGAAGTCATTTGAATGTTGGTTTTTGTAATGTGAGGGTGAGCTCAAAGAGTTTCTGTGGACAACTTGGAGTGGTGCGGGATTTATTCCATGGGGGGTCCACAGGGATTGATTCTTCAGCCAGTGTTTAATTTATATGCTTAAATGGAGCTTTGGGGTTGGGTGTCATCAGTATTCTCATGATGCCCAGCTCTCTACTTCTTTCAGTAAGCCACCAAAAGCGACAGTCTTTGCAGGCTGGTGCCTGGTCACTCCGGTCGAGCGGCCTAAAGGTAACTCCAGGGAAGACAGAAAAGATGCTGGTCAGTAAGGCAAAGTTTGGAGGGACTTATGTAGACCACACAGATAGTTTCATCACTACCTCTGAACAATATACTGAAGAGTTTGGGAATCTTATTAGATCCTGCCGTGTTGTTGTGAGATCAGGTTAATGCAGTTGGAAGATACGTGAGGTCCCCCCGCCCCCAACTTCATTTATTGTGGAAAATGGCTGCTTATCTAGACGCTGCCAAATTGATAATGATGATCCCTGCTTCCATTATTTTGAAACTTAATTACTGTAACATGCTCTTCGTGAAGCTGCCCTTTTAAAACTATCCAGAAGCTTCTTTTTGGAACGTAGTGCAATTGCTTGCTTGTTAAGTAAAGCTCACATTTCTGAACATACCATCACAATTCTTCGACTGTGCTGGCAACCTGTTTGCTTTCAGGTCAAAGCCCTACAGGGCTTGAGACCCCCATATCTGAAGGACCGTCTCTGGTGCGATCCTGTTCACCAACTTGGATCTTCACAGGGCTTTCTCTGTGGTACCCCATCCCTGGTGTCCATTTGATCAGCCATGGCTTGAGCACATTTCTTCTTTGATGTTTTCTTCCATGGGGGGTCCACAGGGATTGATTCTTCAGCAAGTGTTTCTAAGGCCGTTGCCTTTCCGTTTAGTTTGGCTTTTGAGGGCAATTGAACAAATATTGGCAACTGAGCAAA